GCTTTGCGAGATGCCTCCTTGACCCCACGACACAAGCAAGGAGCAGATCATTCGAGACCTCACGACTGTCCTGGAGTCCCACAGGGAGAACACGGTTCGGCATCACTACATGGACAAAGGAATCAAGTTTGTTATCAAGAATTGGCGACCCGAAGACCTACGCAGAGACGAGGATGGACGGAGAATGAGGGTATGCCCGGCATGATACAACATTGTTCCAGCATGTTTCTCCCGATGCACGTCTTGCTGGTCACAGTTCGTTTCGAGCGGATATTACCAAGGTTCTCCACAACGGGAGACTCCTACGGAGATCCCCAGTGACTTCATTGCTCAGACAATGGAAGCCGCAGCAGCCGCAGTGCCTGAGGCGCCCGAAGAGGAGCATGAAGCCATGGAGGTAGAGACCGTTGCGGAACCTGAAGAAATCCCAGAACCGTCTGTTGTCGCGGAAGACGATCCAGAACAGGAACCTGATGAAGAAATGGACGTCGAGCCTGAAGAGGACTTTGATGACGCAGTTCCGGAAGCAATCGCACAGGAACGTCGTCCCGTCTTCATTACCGGCCAGTCTTTGAACATCGATCCTGAGCTACAACTTGCACGTACCCCCATGCAGCCATCTTACTATTCTGGAAAGCGAAATGCCCATTGCATTGACGCGAACATGACCGCTCTTTCGTACATGGCATACGTGGTATGCAGATCCATCTACAAAGCTTGGTCATGATTCGCAAAGTGGGCGACTATGCCGTTGTTTCAGATGAGGGAAAGTTTCGCACTTGGCCAACGCTATGATGTGCTTGGAAAGTGGGGATCTTTGGCGGCAGTGGATAAGGAAACAGGCGTGGCATGTGGGGGATCAAGGGAAGAGAGGGGGGGGCTGAGTGGACGTGACTAGAGGAGAATCATTCCGCTATTGCAAAATGGGGGGTGGAGGAGGTATGTAATGATGCCAGGAGGAAACCTGAGAACCTCAAACAAGTATTAATCCCCATCGGAGGTTGGGGTAGACTTAACACCTGAAAGAGCTTCCGTACAACCGAAATTCTTCTTTACTTGTCCTGGTAGAAAACAAGAAAAAGGGGGAGGGGGGGCGGCGGAAGCACATAACATTATGGTCAGAAAAGTGGCAGGGACAAGTTCAACCCTACTACTTACTTGAAGAGCGACAGGGATGAAGATGTAAAGGCTATGCACTTTTGTTGCCTGAACGTCCTATGCGAGGTGATCCCAATGGTGACGGGACACCAACAATTCTCAGTGCTACGACCAACGCCAACTGGAACAGTGGACTTCTTGTACATCGACCCCGTCGGTATTCTGCTGACTCATTCTGACCAGTCAGTCCAGACCATCGCCTTGTTGGTGGACCACAGTGTGCAGATGCCTGCGCATTTCATGGACAGATTGAACAGATCCAAAACTGAGAGACAGCAAAACCCGACGACAAAGCGTACGGAGGCCCTACATCACATTTCGGCCGCTGACTATCTTCCTCCAGGTGGTACTTCCATCCTGGACACGCCTGTCACTACGGAGGAACGTGAAAGCGCTTCTTCATCCAAGGGACCTTCAAAAGGGCGTGGAAGAACCGGAGGCGAGCCACATGGTGGCTGGAACACCAATTCCTACCACGACTACATCGCCGCCAAAGGCCGAAACAAAGGCAAGGACAAGGGAAAGCCAAGGAACCAGTATCCAGAGGAGAACCTCCGGCCCTGGGAACGCGATCCTACGTCAACGCGAAGATGGTGGCGCGACAACGCCTGATCTTCCTCGCCTATCAGTTCGTGACCTCTGAGCTTCGCCCGTGGAATGCCATCGCGAATGCTTCTTTCTTCGGTGACGCCTGATTCGTTTGCCATTTCAGGGGATCGTTACTGACGTAGATGAGTGTCACAACGTTTCTAAGTGGGATGCAAAGCTCTGATTTTCAATGTCAACGTTGCGGCGGAACATTTTCTGTTGTCCTATCGTGCCATCTTCCGGGTGAGCAGCGTCGGAGACGCAACTCATGGGGGGTGCGAACGGACTGCGATGCCTTGTCAAGTTCTAGGTGGCACTTATAAAAGAGCTGTGAGCAAGACCGTGTTAAAGTGCCAGAGAAGGGGGGCCACGCTAACGCGTCCCTCGACTCTAGTGGCCAAATGCTACCATCCTCACGTTTACCTTTTCTATTTGACCGCCAACGCAAACGTTTGTCTCCAGTCCCAATGCCCATAGCTAGTGCTATATGTGTCTTCTATCCTGAGCAATCAGAGCTATCCCGTTGCACAGACGAACCGCCGCCGGCAGTGAGTGCAAAAGGAACGGCCGCCGGTTCTGCCTGCATAGGATTGCACGTGTGGAAGTAAGAGGGAAAGACAGGGTCCAGTCTGTGGAGAGTGCTAGCCAGCCACACCTACATTCATTACAGCTCTGGTGGGGAGAGCAGCAACCAAGTCGAGATCAATCCCCCACGCATATACATATATACATACATACAAGCCCTTATAGTTTCCAGATCCCCGATCGAGGCTTTATTATATTATATATATAAGGTGTGGGAGGATTTTTGGAAATGTAGGGATTAGGGCTTAAGGTTATACTGAGCAGGATTATAATAATTAATGGATAGGGAGCTATACATTATTCGGGGGGGGTCCAATTCTGGATCCAGAAATAAGGGTAGAGGGTACACACATACATTATCCGGGTCGGGTTTTAATTATGTATATATGATCTATAATTCTCTCGCTTCTTCTATATATATATATACATATATATCTATCTATATTTTATTCTACAGAATCGGGACTAGGCTTACAGCGATTCGAGGGATCCATACTACGACGTGGCTCGCACATCATCTGCGGATGGCTTGGCGGCTCCAGCTTTTCTGGAGCCTGGTGGAATATAAAGCGAGCACGGCATTCAAGCGGGAGGGTTTTGCGAGGATGAGGTTCTTCTGGGCCTCTGGGTCTTCGCCTTACATATATATATGTATATATATATATATATATATATTTGTTTATATATACACTGAAAGAGAGAGAGAGAGAGAGAGAAGAGAGAGAAGAGAGAGAAGAGAGAGAAGAGAGAGAGAGAGAGAGAAGAGAGAGAGAGAGAGAGAGAGAGAGAGAGAGAGAGAGAGAGAGAGAGAGAAGAGAGAGAGAGAGAGAGAGAGAGAGAGAGAGAGAGAGAGAGAGAGAGAGAGAGAGAGAGAGAGAGAGAGAGAGAGAGAGAGAGAGAGAGAGAGGGATGAGAAGGAAGAGAAAGCTGTGTAGGTAGATCTAAATGAGATGGACTGGTGTATATGTTACATTAGCTTATTAGTAGATAAATATATATATATATATATATATGTATATCTACAGACGTCCACGTCTCGCCATGTAAAACATATACTATATATACAGTGTACGATAACACACCAGCAGCTACAGTAGCTAGCACTCTCACCATTGTTGACTGTCGGTATATTAATACATATGTATCAGTCCTATAGCGAGAAGACGACAGTGCAGCAGCTTAGCACATAGCAGAATACCTGCTGGATACATATATATATATTCGATGGATGACAGATCAGACCAGTCTGCGTACAGTCATGTATCCCAGAAGCCTCGAAGCCATCCAGCGATATTGCTTTGCAATTCGGACAGGCAGAATCGAGCTGCATCGGTGGAGACTCAAGATTGGGGTCAGGTGTTGAGGTTGGTACTGTCCAAATAACGACCATCTAGTACTATAAAGTTTCAAGGCCACAATCCCACGTGTAGCTAGAGGTCGAAAACCAGAGTAGCTCCATCCTCAGCTATAGCTCCTAGCGGCTGCCGTTCAGGAAAATCAGATCATGCCTCGAAGCTAGCCAGGCCACCCAAACTACTAGCTGATACTAAAACCCTATCAGACGAATGTTTTAGCATAATTAATACATAGATATGTATATGTATACCATACTCCCCAAAGATCCTACCCAAGTTGGAGGCCCGAGGACTGTAGTCTGCGGTGGCAAACTATTGCACCAAACCTGAGGACAGCTCGCTGAATCCACTGGAACAAAGCAGTCACGGTTTCCATAATGTTGCGGGCTTCGGGACATGCAGTTGCAATCCTACAGGGGTAGGCGGGGACAGGACTATAGCTACGATCACAATAAGCGAGATCCCCGATCCCATCCAAACCGGTCGTATGCAGGTGCTATACTAATCATCAAGTTTGTGGGATTCAGCCAACACGACAATCCTCAGGAAAGCTGCTCGTGGCGGCCACTATGCTTTCGAAGCGATCGACGGGCAACTTGTTTATGCGGGCTCGGGGTCAAGGCTTTGAGTGTTCGGGTCTTTCGGGACTAAGTATCCTTGGTTTTTGGGGTTGCGGGAAAGTTCTGGGTCCTTTTCGCTACCTCATATCATCCCCATTCTCCTGGCCAAGCAGAGCACTAGCCGCCGTGCCAAGCCCAGCGAAGCCTGAGCGAGCAGAGTTGTACTAGTTTCTAATGGGGTTCAGAGCAGAGGTGGCGTTTGTGGGGATTAAGGTTTTGGAAGTTTAGGGTTCAGGGTGATGTTAGTTCCTGTTGTACATAGCAAAAGCAGCAGATGCAAAGAGAGTCTAGAAACCTTCTTCTACTGCAGGGTCATCTTCCCCATTTTCTTCTTCATCTCCCTCGGCATCATCATCATCATCTCCCTGCGGCTCGTTCTTGGCCTGGTCATCCACGATCTGGGTCTGCGTGGGCTTCGGGATCTTGATAGGCGACTCTTTCGGCCTGGGAGTGGATATGACTGCAAGGCATATATGTGTATGTGTGTTTGTGCGTGCTATTTTGTGGGTGTGTGTGTGTGTGTGTGTGTGTGTCGGTGTGAGCTTGTCTCTACTGTATGTGTGTGCTCTTTAACATATGCGTGCAGCATGCATGCTTCGAAGTGTGTATGTGTGTATATGTACACATATGTCTGAATAATGGATCTATCTATGCATCCAACCAAGTCATGGTAAATTAAGACGATTCAAGTTGCGACTTCGGGAAGTGTTTCAGGCCAAGCGAATTGACAGTTTGCCAATCCAAAGCTGAAGCTTCCCAATCGTGGTCGTGACCCAGTAGATCATCTCGACAGCCTCTGTAGTTGATCTCCGCCGGATTCAAGTTCATGTACACATAGCAATCGGCGAAGGTCATGGCGATGTGCATCGCTTTCCTCACACTGAGGCCGGTCCGGATGACCAGCTGGAGCTTCTGAACCCATCTGCTCGTGGCATCGTGGCGATCCTCGCGAGCCTCGACCTTGATCAGGGGTTCTTGGAGCCTTGCGTGCAGTACTTGCAGCGGATTATCGAGTACACATAGTCCTCGATAGGTTTGTCGGCCTTCGGTTTGCGTTTGCTGGCCGCCTTGGGCTTCTGTTCGGGAACAGTCGGGGCCGGCAAACCAAGACCACTCTCTAGGTCTGCAGGCACGAGGTGCGGAACCGACCACACAAGACCATCGGGGAATTGAGCGAAAACCTCATCCTCTTTCACAAAGGGCTTCGAAGAAAACACCGGGCCGGTCTGGCTTTCGAGGCAGGCACGTTGCATCTCGTAGTCCCACCAGATATCGCCAGGCTGTCGCTTGTCCTGGGCTAGGTTGGGTTGTGTTTTGGCAAGGGCTTTGTGGAGCTATAATGATTTTTATTTGGGCTCTGAACTGTTTCAGCTCAGGGGCTTGCTCGGGCTGGGCCTTCTGCTTGGACTGCTTCTCGGGGGCCTTCTCGGACTGCTTCTCGGGGGCCTTCTCGGATTGCTTCTCGGGGGCCTTCTCGGATTGCTTCTCGGGGGCCTTCTTGTTGGAGTGCTTCTCGGGGGCCTTCTTGTCGGAGTGCTTCTCGGGGGCCTTCTTGTCGGAGTCCTTCTCGGTGGCCTTCTTGTCGGAGTGCTTCTTGGGGGCCTTCTTGTCGGAGTGCTTCTCGGGGGCCTTCTCGTTGGACTGCTTCTCGGGGGCCTTCTCGTTGGACTGCTTCTCGGGGGCCTTCTCGTTGGACTGCTTCTCGGGGGCCTTCTCGTTGGACTGCTTCTCGGAACCCTTCTTGTGCTTCTTGCGGGTCTTCTCCTTGGACTGCTTTTCGGGGTCTTTCTCGGCGGCTGCGTCCTTCTCGTCCCCAAAAGCGCTCAGCTTCTTCAGACTAGGTTTTCTCTTGTTGTTCTCGGGCTTCGCTTCTTCGTCGGCTTTTCGTTTGTTCCGAGGCGGCTCCTCGGCGGTTGGGCTCTCCAGCAGCTGCGTGTCTCGGCGTCGACTTGGACCAGGAGTCGGCGAAAGGTAGCCTTGGAAGGAGTAATGGCTTCTCGTACATCGTTATCATTTATTGGATGAACATAGCGATATAGAATTAAGCTGATGGATGGGCCGGGCTTTTTGGTGTTGCTCTATATAATCAACTACAACTACCTTTTTGCTAGTTTTATTTTGATTGTCATAGTGTTGTTTGGTAATTATTATTATTGTTGCTGATTTCGAAGGTTCTGGATGGGGGCTTAATTTGTGGGGCTTCGTTTCGTTCTGGGCCTTAATGTAGGGGTATCAATAGAGGGCCTAAAAGTTTGACTTCGAAGACGTCTTTTTCAGCTTGCATCGGGCCGGTTCCATCCCTCTGGCATCACCTTTTCGACACCACGACGTAGACACACCAGGGGCCTTCCTGGCAAGATAAACCTTCGCCTCCACTTGCAGAGTTCAAGCAACGAGAGTCCAATTGCCAACGGTCAATAAGAGCAGCTTCTAAAAAACCAGCGGCTTCGGCAGATGCCAAAATACCCAGAATCCGCATCTCAGCCCATGCAGGCTTTGAAGAGTGCTGATACCCATAATCTTCGTTGCACCACCGGTGCGAAGGGCTGGAAGTCAAGCCGATCTTGAAACTGCAATTGTCACCGAGTCCACGTATGACGGTATGAGCTCGTTGCAGGATGTTGGAAGCAAGTGTTTGAGACGGCAATAAGTCCAGTTTTAAAGCAGGTTGAGCCATAATGTCTTGGATGACTCCTTTCATCCGAGGCAGCTCGGCCAAGTGCTTCGGCACTTTCAGCTTCCAATAGTTGTCTGAAACATATCGCACACCAGATGCTGTCTTCTCCAATAAGCAAGCTCGAGGATATGGTGCTATGGGCACTACAGGGATCTCTACATGGTCTGGCGGCGCAACCAGTCCTTCGATGGAGGCTGCAGAGGCCAAGCAGCACAAGGAATACTTTAGTTAGTATTTCGCACCCTGTAAGAAAGTAGACAGTATTCCCAGAAACATAAGACTGGTGCGGATCGAAGGGTCTTAGTCTCTGTTTCTGTCGTCCATAGGCCAACAACTCCTGTAGCCAGGCCTCTTCATCGTCGAGAGATTCGCCCGAATCTCTTATTGATGCCATCACAGAAGCTCGCCGCATCCGAACATGGCTAGATTCGGCTAGATATCCCTATAGTCTCTTTATCTACACCAGGACTAAACCCAGGGGTTGCTACGTGGCCCTGCAGAGCAACAAAACCTTCGGAGTTTGAAGCACTTGAAGTCCTCCACAGGCAAGCGACCCCCCCCAAACCTGGATCAATGAGCCCAGCACAGGCACACGAAACCTATTGGGGAAACCATAGCTTAGTTCCAATCCGAATTAAAGGATCCCAAGCCGACTCCAAAGGAAAGCCGAGTAACTCGCACCACTAGCCGATGGATCAAAGCCGCCCATCATCCCATCCAGCGTGTTCAAGAACCAATCGTTGGCCAGGAAAGCCGCCGCTGTTTCCTGGGCGGGATCGCGATGATGCAGCTGCCACAAGACTGGAATATATAATGTATCTCAACTTCTAGAGTTGATGGGACTGCAGTGCCACTAGGATCAGATGCAACGTTTGTTACAAGGGTGGTTCCAAAGTTCAAGAATCGGCTGCTAACTATATGCAACAGTAATAGGAAGCATATATAAAAGAGGATCTAGCTATAATAAATCATCCAAAGGTCAGACAGACCATGCTGTGCGTTTGAGCTGCTGCTGCTGCTTGCCTGTGCTTTTGGCGGGGGCTCATTGTTTGCGGGCTCGTTGTCTGCGGGCTCCTTCTCAGGCTCATGGTCGGGCTGACTGTTGGCTTCCGGGCTAGACATCTTATTGGTGCTGGTGCTGCTGTCACTGCTGCTGCTGCTGCTGCTGAGCTGGAGTCATCACTGCCGCTAACATCATCTGCTCCGTGTTCCCCGTCCATGTCTTCACAGGCCACCTCATCCTGCGGCTGTGCCTTCGGCTGTGCCTTCGGTGGATCACGGCTCTGATCTCGCTGCTTGCCAGTAACTCGTCTGAGTCTACGTTTTCCCGTGGGCTCATCTGAAGCCAATCTTCTGAGAGGTTTGTGTGCCTGAACGGAAGGGCCCCAAGAAACCGTACAGAAGCTAATGAATATAGCTAATGCCCAACTAAATTTGATTGGCCTCCCTCAACCCCAGCCTTTGGAACCCATTCTCTTTGCCAAGGGTGGCTTGCGAGTAGTGTCGGAAAGCAGCACTGAGTCGTAAGGAATTGGTGGTTGACCATGCATCCCGATCGGCTTCTTTAACCTGCTCTGCCAAATGTGCTTTGTCCTCTCGCATGCGGACAATAACAGTAGATAGAAGTAAGGTATGCACATATATATATAGAGAGATAGAGAGAGATACCGATAGGATCAGTACCAAAACCCAACAGTAGATGCTGTCCTCGTGCTTTAGCACCCCTAGCAAGGCTTTCTTGATGACGGTATCCGGAAAGTTCCACGTAGGACTCAACTGTCTGCAGTTGTTCAAGATGCCCTGGAAGAGCCTTGATTCGAGTGCACTCTAGCAGCACAAAACCCAGCCACTATCTACAGAATAAGCTTATAACAAAACAAGCCTGTACTCTATACTTTGATCACAAAGAACGGCGAGCACAGTTTCTTCTTGTCGATCTTCGCGATTGAGCGATCCGTGGGGTACGAAGTAAAAAATCGTTTGTCTATGAACGGCAACAGAGCATCTCGCAGCTTGTGCCATTCCTTGAACCCCTTCCGACTCTTCCGAGGCTCTTCTTCGTCATCATCAGCCGCGATCGCGGCAGGTCGCTTCTTCGGAGGCATGGCAGCACTAAGCGGGCCCCGAAGTCTGAACACTGAAACTTCTCAACCCTGAGCCCTTGTCAAACCCGCGAACGTGGCCCTCAAGCCCGCCGCCCCAGCGACGAGCCCAGTTGACTTCAAGTGGACCTGGCCTACCTCGACAAGCTCCGACATTAAAGGGTCCTAGGGTTTAGGGTTCAGGCTTTAGGTTCGGGGGCGTATCCTTTCAATTAGCTGTCTAAACCCTCACATCCGAGACCCACATCCAGTAAGTAAGTACAATAATGTTAGTGTCTTTAAAGTAGGCTGGTACGGTCGCAAAGGCAAGCTTAACCTATATACCCTTCGCCCTTCACCCGCAAAAGAAAGCCACAGTCGACCCTCGCCAAGCCAGATATCGAGCGGGCGGTTGCCGGAGCGAGTTTTCATCACAAAACCACAACGGACGGACGACGGACGAACAACGGCCGACGACGACGACGACGGACGACGACTATGTGATTTACGGCTTCAACACAGGACGATGCTGCACAGCCATTCGATATTTCCGGTGTTCCTTCGCAGTGTATGCATTATTTTTAGATGTTACACGACTCCTCCTGTTTTATGGTTTTCGTGAGTTTCGAGGTGTTCCTTCCAATACACTACAGGTTTTAGGGCGAGGTCTGTAAAGGTTTCATATTTAGGGCCTTAGGGTTCTTCTTCTTCTTCTTTTTCCAAAATCTTTGAGCCAACTGACAAACTTTTGGCGTGCAGAGCCGTCTTGTATACTGTTATCCAAGATCTGCCACAAACTCGCATTTCGGGTGACACAACAAAATCTAGAACCCCCTGTACAAAAGTAGATCCGCGACCAAAGGTGGATCTAGAAAGTAGATCCGCCCGGGGGTCTGGGAAGCTGAACCTGAGACAGTGATGTAATGTCAAAACCCAGGTCGCGAATCGTATGCAACAGCTGCCACAGAATCGCAATGTATCGCAGCGCCGTCGTGTCCGACACTCGGCGGAGCAATTGCTCCAAAAGGGAGTATTTATTAGAGCTGTTGAAAATGTCACCAAGCAATGTAGAACATGATAATGCAAATTCGCACAGCTCAGCCCACAACTGAAGGGCCCGGGACCATTGACTGGAATGGATCTCGGACTGCTTGACAACCTTGGAGCTGCCCTTGTTTGCTCCTGAATGCAAGAGATCAATGCCTCTCTTGGCGCCAGGACCCTTGGTCAACAACTGACTCGACTGCGGCTCTGGGGCCCCTCCAGAATGGAGTGAGCTCCCTGCAACCTGAGATGGAGGCGAACTCTTCGAGAGAGCCCCCGACACCTGAGAAGCAGAATGCAAGTGCTCCGATGGGTACCGAGCATACGAACCACGAGCAGAAGGAACCGGGCGAGGCTTAGGCGCCGTTGTGGGCACCCCAATGGAGGCCCTCAGTGGAAAAATCGGCCTCGATTTTGCATGTTCTGTCGACCTGACACCCGTGGGATGCAAGCTTGTAGCACGAGCACCTCCAGCACTGAGTGTGGCTGGCCGAGCTAAGGGAGCCGGCTTGGGATGCAAGGTGTCCTCCATCTGAGAAAATGAAAGATCCTGTTGCGAGACTGCCGGAAGCAACGGTGAATCCATCTCCCTGTCAGTCTCTGCAAAAGAGAGACGGCCCACACGAAGTGGGGAGAAGCCAGATGAAACCGTAGAGCAAAATGCAGGGGTCGTCTCAGGCACCGGCGAAATCACATCCCAAGAACAGGAACCCGAATGTACTGCAGAGGCTGCCACAGGTTGTGTCAAAGACTTTTCCAGTGGATCTACCAGCTCAAAATCAGGGTCATATATTGGTGAAGGGGGTCGCGACCCAAATGAAAAGCCTTCAGGGTCCAGCTGTGGCCCCTGCAGAACATCATTTCCAGAGATGACCACCTCCGGGAGTAATGGAGCCTCCTGATCAGAGTCCTGAGCAGATAAAGCCAATGCTGGGTGCAATGGATCCACCTCCAGGGCACCCTGAGACGAGGCAACCACTGCATCAAGAACGACTGCAGAAGGCGAGGCATCTAAAGTCGGCGAGCCTTCCTGCTGGGATGAAGTCCGTTTCTGAAATCGCTTGACAATGCAACGAGTCTGGTCAGAAATCGCAATGTCTGTTGCACGTGAGGCCGATGCATCAATCTCAGGCACTGACAAATCACTCACAGGCACTGACTGATCCATAATGCA